CGTCCTCCTGGAGGTCTTCGATGGCCTCACCTTGGTCTCCAGCCCCCCAACCCCAGCTCTGGCCTCCTGCCAGGCCCAGAGGTGGTACGTGGGGCCCGGCGTGCAGCGGGCACCCCTCCGGGAGGGCAGGATCCGTGGGGCTCTCTTCCTGCCACCCGGTGAGCAACGGGGGGACCCCCCCCTCAAAGCCTGGGTAGGGGGGTGGCTCCCAACCCCCAGAGGTGACGGTGGCTCTCCGGTCCCCCGCAGGTCCAGGACCCTTCCCCGGGGTGATCGACCTGTTTGGGGGGGCTGGTGGCCTCATCGAGTTCCGGGCAGGGCTGCTGGCTAGCAGGGGGTTCGCCGTGCTGGCCCTGGCCTTCTTTGCCCACGAGGATTTGCCCCCTGTCCTGCACCAGCTCGACCTGGAGTATTTTGAGGAGGCGGCCGAGCTGCTCCTCCGGCACCCCAAGGTGAGAGCTGCAGAGCAAGGGGTGGTCTCTGAGGGGGGGCTGGTGGCCTCATCGAGTTCCGGGCAGGGCTGCTGGCTAGCAGGGGGTTCGCCGTGCTGGCCCTGGCCTTCTTTGCCCACGAGGATTTGCCCCCTGTCCTGCACCAGCTCGACCTGGAGTATTTTGAGGAGGCGGCCGAGCTGCTCCTCCGGCACCCCAAGGTGAGAGCTGCAGAGCAAGGGGTGGTCTCTGAGAGATAGGGGGGGTTCTGGTGAGCAGAGGTGTCCTGGGATTGTCCTGGTGAGCAGAAAGGGGGTTCTGGTGAGCAGAAAGGGGGTTCTGGTGTGCAGGGGTGTCCTGGGGATCTGGGGATGTACCCAGTGACCAGGGATGTCCCAGTGGATGGGATGTCCTGGTGATCTGGGGATGTCCTGGTGAGAAGGGGTGTCTTGGTGACTGGGAACATTCCAGTGAGCAGGATGTCCCAGAGACCAGAATGTCCCAGTGGGTGGGATGTCCTGGTGACCTGGAGATGTCCTGGTGAGCAGAAGGGATGTCCTGGTGATCTGGGGATGTCCTGGTGAGAAGGGGTGTCTTGGTGACTGGGAACATTCCAGTGAGCAGGATGTCCCAGAGACCAGAATGTCCCAGTGGGTGGGATGTCCTGGTGACCTGGAGATGTCCTGGTGAGCAGAAGGGATGTCCTGGTGATCTGGGGATGTCCTGGTGAGAAGGGGTGTCTTGGTGACTGGGAACATTCCAGTGAGCAGGATGTCCCAGAGACCAGAATGTCCCAGTGGGTGGGATGTCCTGGTGACCTGGAGATGTCCTGGTGAGCAGAAGGGATGTCCTGGTGATCTGGGGATGTCCTGGTGAGAAGGGGTGTCTTGGTGACTGGGAACATTCCAGTGAGCAGGATGTCCCAGAGACCAGAATGTCCCAGTGGGTGGGATGTCCTGGTGACCTGGAGATGTCCTGGTGAGCAGAAGGGATGTCCTGGTGATCTGGGGATGTCCTGGTGAGAAGGGGTGTCTTGGTGACTGGGAACATTCCAGTGAGCAGGATGTCCCAGAGACCAGAATGTCCCAGTGGGTGGGATGGGGATGTCCCAATGATCTGGGGATGTCCTGGTGAACAGGGATGTCCCAATGATCTGGGGATGTCCCAATGATCTGGGGATGTCCTGGTGAACAGGGATGTCCCAATGATCTGGGGATGTCCCAATGATCTGGGGATGTCCTGGTGAACAGGGATGTCCCAATGATCTGGGGATGTCCCAATGATCTGGGGATGTCCTGGTGAACAGGGATGTCCCAATGATCTGGGGATGTCCCAATGATCTGGGGATGTCCTGGTGAACAGGGATGTCCCAATGATCTGGGGATGTCCCAATGATCTGGGGATGTCCTGGTGAACAGGGATGTCCCAATGATCTGGGGATGTCCCAATGATCTGGGGATGTCCTGGTGAACAGGGATGTCCCAATGATCTGGGGATGTCCCAATGATCTGGGGATGTCCTGGTGAACAGGGATGTCCCAATGATCTGGGGATGTCCCAATGATCTGGGGATGTCCTGGTGAACAGGGATGTCCCAATGATCTGGGGATGTCCCAATGATCTGGGGATGTCCTGGTGAACAGGGATGTCCCAATGATCTGGGGATGTCCCAATGATCTGGGGATGTCCTGGTGAACAGGGATGTCCCAGTGGATGGGATGTCCTGGTGACCAGAAGGGATGTCCTGGTGACCAGAAAGGATGTCCTGGGGGTCTGGGGATGTCCTGGTGAGCAGGGAAGTCTTGGTGATCAGAAAGGACATTCTGGTGGGTGGGATGTCCTAGTGAGAAGGAGTGTCTTGGTGACTGGTAACATCCCAGTGACCAGGGATGTCCCAGTGAATGGGACATCCTGGTGAGCATGGATGTCATGGAGACCTGGGCCACCCCATCAACCAAGAAGCTCTGGGCACATCCTGCTGAGCGAGGACCTCCTGGTGACCAGAAAGGATCTCCTGGTGACCAGAAAGGATCTCCTGGTGACCAGAAAGGACCTCCTCCTGCTGAGATGTCCTGGTGATCCCCTTGTTCCTCCCCCGCAGGTCCGAGGCCCCGGCCTGGGCGTCGTCGGGGTCTCCAAAGGAGCCGAGGTGGCCCTGGCCATGGCCACCTTCCTCCCCCAGGTGGTGGCCACGGTGTGGATCAACGGCATGTCCTCCGTCTACGGCATCCCTCTGGTCTACAAGGACCTCCTCATCCCCCCCATCCCCTACTGCGCCGAGCGCTTGCTCCTCACCGAGCTGGGGGCCATGGAGAACTCGGGGGTCTTCCCCGACCCCCGGGACCCTTCCTACAGCTCCTCGGCCATCCCCACGGAGAAGATCCAGGGCAAGGTCCTCTTCGTGGTGGGGGAGGCCGAGCGTCGGGGGGAGCCCCCGGCCCGTCGCCTGGGGGGGTGAAGCCCAAGCCCACGCCAAGGCTCAGGAGCACTCGTGGCAGGAGATCGTTGGCTTCTTGGAGCTCCATTTGGGTTCTGCCACCGGCGTGAAGCTGTGACGGCACGGGGAGAGGGGGAGGGTTGGGGAAAGGGGGAGCCCCCGGCCCGTCGCCTGGGGGGGTGAAGCCCAAGCCCACGCCAAGGCTCAGGAGCACTCGTGGCAGGAGATCGTTGGCTTCTTGGAGCTCCATTTGGGTTCTGCCACCGGCGTGAAGCTGTGACGGCACGGGGAGAGGGGGAGGGTTGGGGAAA